AGCTGGAGGAGGTGGCTGGGGAGAGGGAGGTCTGGGCCTCTTTGCTTAGGCTGCTGCCCCCGCGACCCGGCCCCGGATAAAGCGGATGAAGATGGATGGATGGACTATATACAATCGAATAAAATAGAATACAAATGCTATATACAATATGAGTATAATACAACGATGCCAGGAAGAGTATTGCACTTAGTGTTATTGCACATGTGTGGATGTGTTTGATCAGCTGGAGTCTTTGTTGTGGAGTCTGACAGCAGTGGGGAGGAAAGACCTGTGAAATCTCCGTCCCACACCGTGGGTGCTGCAGCCACTGAAGGAGCTGCTCAGTGCTGTCAGAGTCTCCTGCATGGGGTGGGAGATGTTGTCCAACAGTGAGAGTCTGGATTGTGGTTGAAGGTATTTTGGACGATTCCTCTTTACAGAACATCTCTAGTTCATTCAGGTTTGATGGCTTCCGAGCATGGACAGCTCTCTTTAACTCACACCACAGATGTTCAATAATATTCAGGTCTGGGCTGAGATGGTCGTTCCAGAATGTTGTACTTGTTCCTCTGCATGAACGCTTTAGTGGATTTTGAGCAGTGTCTCGTTGTCTTGTTGAAAGATCCAGCCCTGGCGCAGCTTCAGCTTTGTCACTGATTCCTGGACATTGGCCTCCAGAATCTGCTGATACTGAGTGGAATCCATGTGTCCCTCAACTTTGACGAGATTCCCAGTCCCTGCACTGGCCACACAACCCCACAGCATGATGGAGCCACCACCATATTTTACTGGAGGCAGCAGGTGTTTTTCTTGCTGTGTTCTGTTTCCTCCATGCATAACGCCCCTTGTTATGCCCAAATAACTCAGTTTTAGTTTCATCAGTCCACAGCAGCTTATTCCAGAATGAAGCTGGTTTGTCCAAATGTGCTTTAGCAAACCTCGAGCAGCTCTGTTTGTGCTGTGGGCGGAGCAAAGGCTTCCTCTGCATCACTCTCACATACAGCATCTCCTTGTGTAAAGTGCACCGAATGGTTGAACGATGCACAGCGACTCCATCTGCTGCAACGTGATGTTGTAGGTCTTTGGTGCTGGTCTGTGGGTCGACTCTGACTGTTCTCACCATTTGTCGCTTCTGTCTATCCGAGATTTTTTTTGGTCTGCCACTTTGAGCCTTAACTTGAACTGAGCCTATGGTCTTTGATTGTCTCAATATGTTCCTAACTGTGGAGACAGACGGCTTAAATCTCTGAGACAGCTTTCTGTGTCCTTCCCACCATGATGCTGAACAATCTTTGTCTTCAGGTCATTTGAGAGTTGTTTTGAGACCCCCATGTTGCTACTCTTCAGAGAAAAGGCGAGGCTCCTGACTACTGTAGCTGTAATACATCAAGCGGTGTGGCTTCGTAGCTTACCAAAGTCATACTAAAATGACCTGTATTTGTATGTGTATAGCGCGTTACTAGTCCCTAAGGACCCCAAAGCGCTACACAAGCAGTCATCCACCCGGCGAGGCTGCCAGACACTGGCGCCACCGGGCCCTCTGACCACCACCAGTAGGCAACGGGTGAAGTGTCTTGCCCAAGGACACAACGACCGAGACTGTCCAAGCCGGGGCTCGAACCGGTCTTTTGATTGGCTAAGTCCCGGTGATGTTTGGTGAGCCTTAGCTTTGGACCAGCAGCTGTTACCTTTACATGATTAATTTGAACCTTTGCCCATAATTACCAGGAACATTTGACAGTAACATATAAATAGCATGGTAAATGGGAAGAAAGTTTCCAATTGAAATCTATTAATAGTAAAACATGTAAGAAACTCACGACTGTGGACATCCGGCATACTCTGCGTGTCATCATCACGCCCACCTGAAGCACCAACACAAGTTGTCTGTTAGCGCGTAACCTCAATAAAACCCTAAAAAGCTCACAGTTGAATCATTATCTCTGAATTCTTTAACATAAGGCAAACTCACCTTCTCCGTTCAGCCTCTTGTACAATGACCTCATCACTTTGGCACTCCCAAAGCGTTTGAAACGGTTTCTCACGTTGTCATGGTACCAGCCCAGAGTCCCGATCTTGAGCACCCTGAACAACACAAGTGCAGAACATAGAGAATATAATAAACATCTAGCATAAAAGAAACTACCATGACCACCAAATAACTCTGAGCTTACGCTGATGCAGTGCTCTCTGCTGCCGGAGGCTCACCTGTTCATGCGGCAGTTGTCGCACACCCAGCCGTGCTCCTTCTTGTTGTAGCGGCTGCAGGACTTGCAGGTGTAAATGCGACAGTCCAGACACTGGCGTTTGCTGTTGACCAGGAACTTGAAGGGCTGCAGGCAGCGAATACAAAGCGAGTCGGACAAGTTGCTCTGAGAGCCCAGCAGGTCTCGTTTTGAGTCCTCCTTCTCAATCTTATTCTTCAGCTCACTGCAAAAGACATGAAAAGTTAGTCCCTGAGTTCATCGTGGAGTAAAGACCTTGAGGTTTGGAAACTTCAGCAAAAATAGCTGCAGCTCCCTAAACAAATATAACAAATGAACATAGATTTCATAAAAGTAGAATACTCTGACCAATCCAAGGAATGCACAAACGACTAAAACCATAACAGAGAACTTCTTGAGGAATTTTGAGGATCTGAAGGAAGACCTGATGATGAAGATCTGGAAGATCAAACACTAGAAACAAAGGCGTTGACATTTCGTTTGAACAGTGTGGTGATGGATTTGCTTTCCAGAACAAAGAGCAGGTAAATCTGTGTTTGAGATGTTTGGTTAGTGCCTAGATCTTTATTCAATCAGGCTCGTGATCAGAGTAAAGCACCAAAGGATCAAACCTCAGCAGCATGCTCCACAAAAACGGGTTACCTCTCTGAAAGGTCGGCTGATGCCAAATATCCAAAGCTCCAGATCACAAGGTGCAAACAACAACTCAAATTCCACTCCAGCTGATCTTATAGAAACCTTGAACCTCGCTGGCAGGTAGAATAAAAAACAAAGGAAGAAGAACCAGAACCAAGGAGCTGATTCCCTCTGGAGACGGAGCTACCATGGACTGTTGGGTGAAGGTATTAATTATTAAACTGATAAAAAAAATAACGTGAGACTTCGGTTCTTTACATTTTCACAGAGAAGAGAGGGAACAGCAGTCATAAAGAAGATAAATGACCAATCTGTGACTCACCCACAGCCCCTCACTAACTGGCTCTGAATGAATCGTGTGTTCTCCCTGCTTCATGTGATCCATCACTTTAGCAATGTCCACATGGAGGCCCACCAGCCTCAGACTGAGAACCATGGAGGGGCTGAGCCACAAAAACCTTCAGAGTATGCGACGACCACAACTGCAATTTAAATTTGTTTATCTGGCAATGGGTCACAGGGACAGGAACAGAGAGAGACCTCCCTCTCTGTAACCACCTCATCTAGCTTATCTGGAGTAACACAGAGGCCTTCCCAGGCCAGCCCAAGGATCTAATCTCTCCTGCTGTCCCGGATCTACATCAGGCCTGCTCCTCCTGGTAGGAGCTGGCAGTGTGCTTCTTTTGAACTCTAGTCCAAATCCCTCCCAAAAGTCTGAACTCCTCACCTGTCCAGTTCAGCAGTCCACAGTATAAAAAAAGTCTTCTTACAGATTTCATTTTGGCTTCTTTCATAGTTTTAAATGTGGAATTCTGATCAGTTTTTATTGATTTCTCGGTTTGTTTTGTATGCTTGTTAAAGGATGAAGATGACAACATGTTCCTGATGATTTCTCTCCAGTCATGAGTCCCCGTGAGGCTGCTCCCTCCCCCCTGGGGCTGATGGGAGTTGGAGTGTTTGGAGGAGACACAGAGCGTCTTTGTGAGGCAACTCCGTGTGACCGGGGCGTGATCGAGTGCAACAACAACAACGTCTTTCACGCTGGAATTCCTGCAAACTTCACATGAACGAAAACAGTTCAAACTCCAGGACTCACACAAAGTTTAGCTTCAGAGTCACAGAGAGAAAGTCTGGGAAAGTCTGGGGTTTATCTAAGACACAGGTAGTGGACTCCAGGCCTCGAGGGCCGGTGTCCTGCAGGTTTTAGATGTGTCCTCGATCCAACACAGCTGATTCAAATGGCTAAATGACCTCCTCAACATGTCTTGAATTTCTTCAGAGGTCTGTTAATGAACTAATCATTTGATTTAGGTGTGTTGACCCAGGGTGAGATCTAAAACCTGCAGGACATCGGCCCTCGAGGCCTGGAGTTCCCTGATCTAAGACTCATATCAACTCTGAGAGGAAAGCCAAAAACAGCTCAAAATTCACTGAGATAATGTCTGAAGTTCAGTTTGTTTGTTTTTACTGTGTTTACTTTTGTTTCACTAACTTGGCAACATATTTGATGCTTAATCAGTTTTAAAAAGGACTTAATTCACTCTCTGATTCTTTGTACATTGATTGATTTTTGATTTGCCCGTTTTTTGCCCAATTTTTAATAACACTGAATACAAACAATATTCAAACTTCCATTAAAATGTGTAGAAGCTTCAAAGCATTTTTTATTTATTTTGTTTTATTTCTGCAGCAAGAATTTTCTGTGTGCTATTAATGCTGATATTTCAGCTTCAGTTTGAAAAACACCCTGAAACTTCAGTAATGTTTCTGATATTTGTACATGAAAACATGAAAGTACCTGAGTCTCTCTTCTTCTTTCTTGCGGAGGTTGAAATCTCGTTGAATCACCTCCCAAACATGTTTGGCCTCTTCGTCCGTTAGACGGGAAAGATCCAGCTTGTGCTCCATGACACTAAAAGAATCACTCAATCAATCAATCAATCAAACAATCAATCAAACAGTTGTATGAGGTGGCAGTTGGGGAGTTCTTCAGCGTTTCGTTGTTGGTCCTCTGCTTTTAGTAACAAGGTTTTCTTTTTTTAAGTTGTACAACTTGTTAAAATGTAAGGATATTCTAGAAATACTTGCGGTAATGAATAAAATATTTTAGTGCATATATAATACTTTGATAATAAAAGCATGAAAAAGACAAAAGTTTTCAGATAAAAAAAACTTTTCACTTAACAAATCTTTAGAACAAGATTTTGTGATAACACATTTTAGACAAACAAAATCCTGTTAAAATGAAGGTTTTATAATTCAATATAATGAGAAATTTGAAAAATATATCTTAATAAATAAATAGTAAATAGTAAGTCTTTAATATTTAAACATAAATTTAGAAATACTTTGAGGCAAAAGAACATCATGCATTCAAACTGATATGAAAAAATATAATTATTAGAAAAACAATGATCATAAATCCACAAACACTCCGAGTCTGTCGATCCACCCGCAGCTCACAAAGGTATCGTGGGCAGATCACATGACATATATTGTTTAATTAGATATAAGTATGAATAACTATGTATTGAGCATTTTTAAAGTAGGCAGATCATTTGGATCTGATCATTTTAGAAGCTATAAAGCTGCTGGCACCCCTGCTGTAAAATAATAAACAAAATAAAGTAAAATCAAAAATTAGAATAAATACTTTAAAATTTTCTCTTGAATGTGTATTGTTATTTTTTCCATAAGTATTTGGTTTGTTTTTTAATTAAATTTAAAAAAAAAAAAAACCATAAAAGAAAATGTATTTTTTGTTGACACAACTCACAATTTCAAAAAGATTAAGCTTGATTTTTGCTCTAATTACAAATAATCAGATTTGAGGATGTCCAGCTGCTGAAGTCTCTTTTACTTTGAAACATATGAGATGAACATGGTTCAGTGTGAGCTGCTGGTCTGTCACCACACCCACAGACTAAACTCTCACTAAATTTAAACCTCAATCTGCAAAAATATTTACAATAAAAGACTTTCCAAATAAAAGTCTGCCAGGCTAAAAACAACAATAATTTACTGTTTATGTGCCTTCAGAATAAAAGCCTGTCCGCAGTATGAAGTTAAATAAAGACAACTCAGTGAGCGCTGTGTGATATGTTGTGTGAGACAGAGGCTTCATTCAAAGCTCAGATTAGATTTAAAAACTAATTTGTTTAAATTTAAAGTTCATAAATGAGATTAAAATTCAGTGAAAAACAGTAAAAACTCACCCGATGGTTGTGTCTGCTGCTCGATGATGAGATGAGCGAAACTGAACTGAGAACCTCAGCTGATCATATGACGACACCTCTTGACATAGACACACACACACACACACACACAGACACACACACAGACACACACACACACACACACACACAAACACTGTAACACATCTGCAGGCTAAACTTTGAAAAACGAAATCAGACATCCACAGTGAAGACGACAAACATCAGGGACACAAACTGAAATTAAAAGTGTGACAAGTGTGAAGCATTCAGAGCTCAGTTTGTCCAACAGCAGGTCATGAGACCTGAGATCATTTGACATCATCAAACGCTCGGTGAAGACTTTTATTCTGACATCGAAGATATGACTGAACACACATTAGATATTAAGACTTAATACTAGATAACGAGATAATAAATACAAAAAAAACTTATTCTGCATGAACTTGAGTGTATTTATCTTTAATAATAATAAATGTGACTGTAGGCCACTTACAAACATAAATACACATGATATGGAGAGAATCTGATAATGTTGTTGATAATAATTTAATGTCTTATAACATGATGTCATAAAATCACAAGGTTTTCTCTCTTGGCTCTCGGCGAAGGCGGTCGCACTTTTCTCCTCTCCTCCTCTCCCTTATCTTTCCTGCTTAGCTCTTATGTCCTTGTCTAGTCCCGTGTTTTTTGTATTACTTTTCCCTGAACACTCTCCCACAGTCTGTTCTCTAAAACCTAAAAGAGAATTATGGATTCGATCAACTGGTCCCTGAATGCTATTGACACCCTTTTCTCAACGAGAAGTCTGGGCTCGGGAGAGCCTGAGTTTCCTAGAGGTACTTTCCCTGCTGGATACACGATGGACGGGTGGCAGTAATGGAGAATCGTGTGCCTGGCGAGACTGTCGATTGAAGACACTGAGGGCATTTACCTATTTGGAACCATGGTAACAGGGTTCTGGCTGATCGGAGCTGGCTTGGCCCTGGCTTATCGAAGAATTAAGAAAGCGGAACCGGCTGTTCAAACCCCCACAAGACTGACACTGGGTTTGAAACCAGTGAGAGACCAGTGTCGGACTGTTAAAAACAGCTTGAAATTCTCATGAGTTGTTCGCACTAAAGAAGAAAAAAACACCATCATAATGTGGCTATCCCTTCAGCGCCAGCTGTGGGCTCAAGGCTGGAGCTTGACAACAACACCCTGATAACCACTGTGTTTAGACTGTTCCTCCCATTCCATGCAAGGCCTCCTGGGTTGGCTGGAAGACTGTTTACTTAGCCTGGCAGGGCGAAGGACACTGTCTCAGCTGAACTCTGGACACACACACACATATACTGATAGGCACTCACTCATCCCCCCTCCCTTTCCAAACGCCTTCGATGTTTGTTCCCTCCTGGAGAACACGGCGGGTCTGGTCCCACGCGGGAATGGTAGCGCTGGGCAGGGCGGCTGCTGTGTTGCCTGGGATTACTCATTCCCCCACCCAACCCTGTTGCTGGTCACGTGCTCTATAATGTTGTGCTGTGGACATTTATGTGCTTTTTATGCAGAGGAGTTTTTTTGTTTCCTGTTCTCATGCTGTCCTCATGTAGCCCAGCATGAGTAGAGGTCTCTTTTTTTCCTCTTGTACTTTCCCATTGTAGTGTACATTTCAGTGTTTTTCTGTAACGCTACCGATCTCCGACCTGTATCCCCATGTGATGTCTGTGCTGTGTGTGTAAGGTCGGGGGGGTCCCATTTCACTGCAGGGCAACCTGCATGTGGCGAATAAAGCCTTGATTGATTGATTGATTGATTGATTGATTGATTGAAACTTTTTTTCCCCAATAAAAAGTTTATTGTCAGACTTTATGCGTCACTGCTTTAGCATCACAGACTGGGAAGTCTTCCGAACATCAACAATTATGCTGAGTATTCATAAATGCATCAATGACATCATACTGCGGGCTATTGTACAAACCTAACCAGAAGCTGTGGGTTAACAGAGAGGTCCGCGCAGCACTCAGAGCGCGGACTGCAGCCTTTAAATCCGGAGACCCAGGTGAATACAAAACATCCCGGTATGCACTCAGGAAAGCAATAAAGACGGCCAAGGGACAGTACAAAGAAAAGGTGGAACTCTGCTACAGCAACTCCAACACCAGGAACATGTGGAGTGGTCTGAAGACCATCACAGACTACAAGGGAAACAGCGGCAGAGTGAGGGAGGTAACTGCTTCTCTACCTGACGAGCTTAACACCTTCTATGCATGCTTTGATAAACATATATCTCAGGAGCTTTTGCTGGAAGAGGACAGCTGCCCTCTTCAGATATCTCAGGCAGTCGTATGTAAATATTTCAGAAAAGTAAACACTCAGAAAGCTCCTGGACAACATTCCAGGTCGTGCTTTCAAAGCGTGTGCCCACGAGCTGGCAGATGTCTTCACAGACATTTTTAACCTTTCCCTGCTCCAGTCTGCTGTCCCAAAATGTTTTAAGAGGACCACCATCCCTGTCCCTATGAAAATTAATGTGATCTGCCTAAATGACTATCGCCCAGTAGCACTCACCTCCATTGCCATAAAGTGCTTTGAGCGTATAGTCAAAGCTCATATCACATCCTTAGTCCCTGCTTCACTTGATCTGCTCCAGTTTGCCTACAGGCCAACAGATCTACAGATGATGCAATAGCAGTTGCACTTCACACCACCTGCGACAGACTGGCGACCTGTCCAGGGGGTACTCCACCTCTCGCCCTATGGCAGCTGGGATAGGTTCCAGCGACCCCCGCAACCCTGAAAAGGATAAGCGGAAGTGAATGGATGGATGGATGGATGAACCCACAACACGATTCATAAAGATTTAAAATCAGTGACCTAAACACATTTAAACATTAAAAACAGTCTTATTATCGTACTGGAAACACTTAAAACATAGATGTTTTAATTTATTTTAAGATTAAAAGTACTTTAAATATAACTATTTAAATGATCCTGCTGTAGTATAAATAATCGGCTGAAACATGAAGCTGCGGTTCCTGTGACGTCCAGCAGGGGCAGCAGTGAGTTAGCCGCCCATGTTGCCGTAAACAAGCTCACAGCCTGATACACAAACAGGTTGGTCATTTGACCATTTAACCAAATGGGTAAATTTAGCCCTGTAATAGTAGGTGGGTGCTAGGCAACATCAAAATATGTGACCTCGATAAGAACCTTCATGTATGGGTGTTGCATGTTTGGTTGCTGAATTCCTGATGTGTAGGGGCAGTTCATGTATGCTGGTGATGTAGTATATGCACGATGTTCTGGAAGAGGCAAGTATAATGAGTAGAACGACAGGACTTAGAAGAAAGTATGAATGCTTGGAAAAGCTTCCGTGTTAAAACTGTTATTATAGAATTGTGAATGTCCAAGTCACGCAAGGCTGCTTAGTTATAATAAACGTATAATAACAATTCTTTTAGATTGATTAACAGAATTACTCATTGACTTTATTAAAACATAGAATTTATTGCCTTGACTTTTATTTGCAGTTCAAATGCAAATATTAATAACGAAGAAAGGAATGAAATAAACGTGCCTGTTCTGCCTTTTATAACTTAAACTGAATATTACGGTTGTACACTGTCCTAGAGCTCCCTCTAGTGGCTGCTTTGTAATATGAGTTTGACTAGTTTGGGAAAGAAAAAATGAAAATGTGAAAAAATCAAAGATGGCGGAAAGTGATGCCGTAATGTTATCGTTCTAAGCTGATACGGACCTTAAAATGTTGTTGCCTTGGACAAGATATGTCTGTAAGTATGAGTGACTGTGACAAAGTGGCTAGGACAGAATTCATTTGCCATTCGTCACTTGCATATATTGTTATTTTGTGTTCTGTTATCCTATAGTCTATCATAATGCTTTAATGTAAACACAGCACATGTAACCTTGGCTCTACATACTATCCCGGGTCTGTTTGTGGTAGCATTGGTTATATTCATTTCATCTGTGCAAATGTACTTAAAGCTAAATGTCACTTCATCATTAATTGATTTGGATCTTTCATTTGTTTATGTAGTTTGGTTATACTTACCATTGTGTGTTCCTTTGAGCAGGTCCTATGTCTATCTATCCTAGAATAGCACTTATGTGTAGCTGAGTAGCAAGAGTATACCGTCTTATTTGCATTTAGCTTTCACCAGACTTTGAGTAGATTTAGTTCAGCCATGAAGTGATTAATGCTCTTCCCCGCATGAGGATGTGAAGGGCCAGTAGAATCAGAGGACCTGTCCTTAACAGGGTCCAAAGCTACATTAAAATCCCCTCCATTTTCTACCTCCAATGTAGAGAGTAATAGAAACAGGTCCTCAAAGAATTTGGGGTTGTCCTCATTAGGACCATACACGCAGACTAAATTGAACTTAGACTTGTACTATTATATCTACCTGCTACATCTCTGCTAATATTAGTCATCTCAAAAGGGATGTTCTTATTTATAAGAATCAAAGTCCCTCGTGAATGCGAGCTATAAGGTGCTGAAAAAATAGGTTCCTGCCACCTTCTAGTCATTACCTGTATGTTAGTCAAAAGGAGAAAGATTATATTTGTCTGCATCCTCCTCAGTCTAGTCAATACCTGTTTCCCCTTACGTTATTTAAACCCCTACCGTTCCAGGATGTTATCTTAATATTCATAGATTGGGACATAATTATAGATAGTAAGCCGACTGCAGTAGATTAAAGCTAAAAATATGAAAATAGCCATTCTTGGGAGGGTGAATTAGTAATAATAATAAATTTAAAAAGAGGAGAGAAAAATATGAATATCAAAAAGAAAAAAAGAAAGAAAAACAAATGAAAAGAAATTTAAAAAAAACATTATCTTTACCCCTGTATAACCCACAACTAGAACATTAACTCTTAAACAGTTAAAGCTTTAACCTCGAGCAACATTTAAAGAAAGTTCCCCTCTCCTTCTCTTAACACTCCAACCTATGTCAATAGCAACTACTCACTAACTTAGCATTGCTGCAGCCTGAAGGGCAATTATCAATATATTCCACAAT